GGCGCATTGCCAACAAAACGGCTAGTATAGACGGCGCTTCATTTCGGTGTATGTTGGCTTCCGTTTTCAATCGACATTCTTTCCCTGTTATCTGTTGTGCTCGCGCATGCCAGCCATGCTTCCGCCTTGTATATCCTTTCCATTAGCGGTCAAGCGATTACTGTATGCAAAATGGAAAATGGATTAAAATTCGTATTGGTTTTGATCGAGCCACCTTTGTGTTGAAAAACAGGATAACAGGATCTAAAGAACTTGAGCAAAAAGGTAGTTGTGCCATGTCTCCACCTTGGCGAAGCGCAGTGGATCTGTTTGGGTGAATCCTTGGGAGCATATGTTTTCGTACACGCGAAATCGGTAGCGATAGGGCACCCACTTAGTTTTAGTAGTTTCTCAGTGGATGTAGTATTTATTGTTATTGAATGTCATCAGGATATGTTGGACTCTCTTCTTTCGCACTAAGGTTAGGTACTAGGATAGGTGGCGTCGCGTATCAAACAAGCGAGCGCACTAGGACTTGGGTACAGTCTAGGTGTTGAAGGCCCATCGAGCCGCCACAATCGCTCGCTTAACCCCGCCCCTCACTCACGCCCACCCCATTTTTAGAAGGTCTCGTTGATTGAACTGTCTTAATTTACTGCCCATACCTCTTCACACATTTCTAGGCAATAGTTTGTAATATTACCCACCTAGAACCTATCATACTAGTCTATTACGTCTAACAAATGGGACCGGTCTTTACGCGTTTACGTGTATGTTCGTATTACTGTAATGTCACTGTAATAACTGGATAAAGCGCACACTAATGGCAAAACGTGCATGTGGAAAACGAGATGCATTAGCCGAAAAAGTGACATTATACTTGACTATGCTAGTGGTAAGCGGGCGTGAAAGCTTCTTGAAAGTCTTGGACTGTCGGAAAATTTCAAATCAGTATTTCGCATTGTAGTTCAATATTAATATGATTGACAACATTTTCTTTTTTTTTTGGATCCCAGTTACAAGCAATAGTCAACGAATAGGTGACGTGACTTTGGCAATAAATCTATGACCGCGTCGCAACCGGAACGCGACAGTCGTAAAAGTCTTGCCATCTTCCACCATAAACACCAGATTATCAATTACCCCAGCAATTTTGTGAGTTCTACAAGTAGACAAGAGATGAGTGACGAAAAGGCGTGAAGTGTTCGAATCGTCTACGGGTAGAGGCGGCGCGCGCGTGCTTAGGTCAACTCAACACCATGACGTATCGCCTCGTGCAAACCGTGCAAATTCACACAAACAACGCGAGAGCACTCTCGAGTATCTCCTCTCACGGTTCGGCTCATGCACAGGTTTTGAGGGTCTGAAGAGCGGATGGACCACATTCAAGTGGAGCGAATCAGGATGTGTTGGGGATATGCGAGGTTATTTTGCTAGATGAGTCGAACGGGGGACGGGAGGAAGAGAATGGGACCCGAACCCTGTCATTAACACAGTTCAGCCCCAGAAAATCCTGACACTCCTTTTTATGCTCAAAAAACGATGGTAAAGTTTCTCTCTTCTTATCTTCCCTTCTAGAATGTCACCACTCGAATGTGCAAGTGACTTTTACACTTGGCTCTATCTTTACTCATTATTGTTTTATTGGAATCATCATCTGAAATTCAAATAGCTTCGTAAGAGAGACCTTTTTTTGGCTCATGGCTCATATTCCATTTTTTGAAACTTTGAGGTTATGGACATCAGAAAGAAATTTGGAGGACATGGGTAATGCGGTAGAAATTACATTCGAAAAAAATTTTTGTCATGGAAAAATTTCTCAAAATTTCGCAGACTGAGCTGTGGAGCACATATTCAAACTGGCTAGTAATAATTTACCACTGTCCAAAATCAAAGTGCAGCCCGTACCCTAACCCTTACTTGGTAAAGATAAGCGGGAAAAATTACCCACCAGTTATTCTTTGCATGATTCAAAGTGACTAGCTAATTGTTGCCATGCGATTCATGTGTCAATCAGGGAGAAATCCGCTAACGTGCGCCCCGTATCCGGTTTTTTTACCCCCCCCCCCTTCCTCTTCCCCGCTTGAATGGAAGGAAAATGTTATTAGCTGACAGGTATCATCACGGGGAATGTCCAGCGGTGTCGATGACATCGTCGCAGTATTCCAGTTCTTTGTACCTGCGGTTACGTTGTGGCGCAGCAAATCCTACGATATCCCTACCCTTCCTCCTCCTCATCTTTGCGATTTTCGGGGTAAAGAGAAAAGATTAGGCTCAAGCGACCTTCCACCCATCACTGGCAGTAATTTGTTGGTTTGGTGAGAGAGTTTGTGAGCTTGAGAGGACGCAGATGAACAATTATCGTAATTTCAACCATTTTGTACTTCTCTATTCAGTGCGTGGTAATGCAAATTTCACTCCCCCAATTCCCCCCCCCCCTCTTCTCCTCTACCCCGCTCGTGTGAAGCTGTTCGCAAAAAATAGCGCTTCAAATGTCGGTGTCTGGACATGAATAAAGTGGCGATAAAGGAAGTCGGCGTGAAGTAATTCGCAAAACAAGGAAGCATGCACAGCCACGCAAGAAAAAATTCCAAAAGTACGTAAGCAGACACTGAAAGTGCAAACAAAAAGTGCACGGAGGATTACATGGCTCCAGATTTTTTCTTCACTGCCTTTTTGTTCATCGGAGTGGATATGTGTCAATTTACGGATAGCAAAAAAAATTCTGAGAAGGCGGAAAAAATCTCTCATGCGTGAAAGGCGAAGAAATTTCACAACTCATAATTAGTAATCGGTAATTCTATGAGCGATAATTTCGATATCCAGAAAGTCCATATGAACTTCAAGAAGCGCCCGTTGGCTGCCTGACCGTTGACCCAATTATGCGCGCGCACGCGCGCGCAACCAGTTCATGAGATATCAGCGGCGTGGCTCGCGGCGCGAAAACAAGCATAAAACATTCGATGACGTCTACGCGCCCTCAATGAAGTCATGATGTCACATTTCAAAGCGTAAAAAAAATTCATTCTCAACGTGGTCTTTTTCGCAAAAAAACTGAGATTCCAGCGGAAGCAAAAGAAGAGCTAAAAACGGAAACAAGTTAGGATGGCATTACAATTTTACGTTTTTTACTGAGAAGGAGCGGAGTCGCGCTTGTTTTTTGTATTTAGATTCCTTGCACATAGCTATATACCCGGTTCTCAATACATTCGCTTTTGTTTTACTAGATTCTCAATATAATCGGTCTTACACACTCTGCAAAAGCTTTAGATATTGTGACGATTTGGTCAAATGAATGGGAGGCTACCAATATCCCAGGATGAAACTAAAGTACTCCATATAAGAGCTAGTAATGTGGAGTACACCTAGCAGCTTGAGAGCAAACCAACTGAAACTGTGGATGAGATTATTGGTTTGGGATTCTTGTTTGATGACAAGCCCTCATGCAAGAAAAATTGTGCGAAAACTGCTGCCATAGGAATGGCTACGGCACAACCTGCTTAGAGCTCATACAACTAATAATATGGAGGTCTTGATTCGAGCATATAAGGTATATGTTAGACCCTTACTTGAATGTGGTAGTTATATCCAATCCGTCCACAGATGTTGCAGCCATGCATTAGAGCGGGTTCAGAATAGCTTTACCGGAAACGGAAACTAGAGTTCATATATATTATAATCAGCTCCCGGGCTTCAGGCTTCGTAACAAAAAGTTTGGTTTGGAAAGCTTGAAAAGAAGAGGAAGTTCGATATTATTATGGCATATAGAATATTATCTGGAGGCTGTCAAGTTAACCCAAGTGACTTTAAAGGTGGGAACTCAGTAACCAGAGGTAATTCAAACAAAATTGTGCACGCTAGAACAAGAAGGAATGTGAGAAAGAATTTCTTCGTCAACAGAGTTAGCCATGATTTTGATAAACTCAATGAAGCGATTGCTCCCTGTAAAACTTTCTTGTTTTAGAGCAGTCCTCAAGATCTGCCTACTTTTTTCCTGCAATGCCTTTTGATTAATGTTGTCGCTTTTTCCGTTTCGCTCTATACAAAGTGCTAGTTGTTGTTGTTTTTTCTTCGTTGGTGTTCTTTTGTTTTTGTTTGCTTGCATCATTAACATAGGTTATCCTACGCAATATATAATAATAATAATATAATAATGATGACTCTTTCATGTTTGAGCTAAAGTCGTTATTTACGGAGTTGAGTTAATCAAAATTTGTTTTGCTTTGTTTGCAACTTTACCAATTTACCTTATGGAGGCAAATTTCATTCATTTTCAAGCAGTTACAAAACGATAATTTCAAATCTCAAAATTTTAGTTTTGAAACTTTTTTTGAACTTTCTTCTGCTTTGAATACACCTCGACTATCCAATTGTGAGCAGATTAGAGGAGGAAAAAGCGAGAAGCAATCAAAAGCTGCAGAAAATGACTTCTTTCATACAGAGTTATCCCAAAACTGGATTGATGATGTGGTGGATCATTTCTCTTTTTATGTACTCTCACTACTTTCTATGGAATCTAGTAAAACTGCGCAAAAAAGCAGCACTGTCAAAATCTAGTCCCGTCTTCACGCTAACTTTCGTTGTCGTTTAGTAAAATCTCCATAGAATGCGGGGCTTTCACTTTTGCGCGCCTCAACCTCATTTTCGAAGTTTGGAGATCCGTCATCAAACGTTTAGACGAGCATTACACCTGCTGAGCTGTGAGAAACAGGGAGTGGAAACAGGTGCTCTCAATATCCTTCCCTCACCTCGTTGACCGTACCATAAAACAATCGATAAACGATTATACAAATGCGCGGGGGGGGGGGGCAAAGGTAATTATCCTCATAGCACCGGTTGGACAGCGGTCACCACAGGTGCTTGAGCGACGTGACAAGGATTTTCAAGTGCTTCCGTGTAATATCGGAAGCCAATAGGGAAATAGAAAATAGAAGGAGGAGGGGGGGACGCTGAATACTTTTATTTTTCTTGACAAAGAATCAGCTTGAAGTTAATCAGCTCGAAATTCTAGGGTACACGTGATGACGCCGCCTGACTTGAGATTTCGAGATCATTGGCGTGGAGCTTCCCGATTTCGACCCATGGACCATATGGGCCGTTCGACAGTGAGGTACGAATTTTCCTATGGAAAAGATAACGTCATCAGCGAAGAAAATCACTACAGTACCACCACTACATCCGGGCATGCGGTACATGAAACAGGCTCAATGGCGTCATCACCAGTTACATCCATATCGGATGAACATACGGGAGATGCATGGAGAGACTCACCACTGAGAAGGGATCCTCGAGGTGAGAAAAATTTTGAAAAATACCAAGTTTGCGAAGTTTAGGAACTCCCGAAAAAACGAAAAGGGGAAGAAAAGCTTAGGAACTTTGGTTTAGGAATGTTACAGTGGATTTGAGTGAATACCTTTCGTGTCGGGTTTTTTAGATTTTCGCTTCATCTCCCCTTGTGATTGTGGCTATCTAATACTACTATATAGTGAAGCAATAATTTTATGCCTTCCCCGAACCCACGAGTCGGTTTTGTAAATTAATTCATGTTACAATAATGAAAATAATTACAGAAGACATGTCACCAATGAGCGATAATAGCACAGCACTTAGCAGCAACATTCGATCTGTGGATTCCGCTAAACCGGTAAATCATACAATAATTATACTTACAACAATAATTATCGTTATTATTCAGAACAAGCCAAAAACAGTGGAGATCAAAGTGCAACGGACAGAAAAAGTGGAAAGACGAGAAAAATTTGATCATAATAAGGATTGGCTGAACAATAATGATACATATGCAATGCCAAGGTAATTTGAATTCCGAATTTGTATGAGTGAAGATGAGGAGGAATAAAAGAAAACGGGGAAAGATGAACAATATTATCGGATTGAAGGATAAGTCTTGTAACGAAGTGAAATGTCGTACGTTCCTACAGATTTAATAATTCTGGCACTACTGCAAATCAGCTGGTATACGCAATTATGCCCGGATTACTTCTCCTTGTTTAGTAAATCTATCACTGTTTTTTTTTTCGTGTAATCTGCTTTGATACAATTTTTCGTGGTCATCTCGTTCATCGGGAATCTCGAGTTTCATGAATGTACATGCAAGCATTGTGAGATAAATGTGAGCGATTGGCATATCATCAACGCATTGACGAAAGGCTTGATTTTTTTTTTGCAATGGCTACTATCTTGAGTCAAGCCCACTTCAGGAATGTTTTATTATGCTGGATTTGAGCATAACCTCCAGTTTGTGTCAGCCTCTCGGCGCTACTGCAAGTATGCTATAAATGGGATTATGCGTGATGTCAATCAAAAAATGTCGACTGGACTTGAAAGGCCTTGTTCGTCATCAATTTGTCAAACGTGCAGTACTCTATTCTGTTGTTCAAAGTGAAGTATGACAGAAGAAAATTTACATCAGATTTTCTGCTTCTATCACTACTACAATTTTCAGATCCTCCCAAATTACCTTGTTATAAGACAAAAAACATTTTTTTCTGATCACATAATCAACTTTGTCTTCTAGATGATTGCCACAAATTTGGCTTTGTTGCCATTGTTCGTAATAACATAACACATCCACGAAAGTTGCCCGAATGCCTTCAACATTTACGCTGCAATGGAAGTGTTTTCAAAAAGACGCGAATGCCACAAAATCGCGAAAAAATCCCAGACACTTCAAGTGATTTCCTTCATTTTCAAATGTATACGGGGACCAATTGTGACATACTTCTTTTCGATGTGGTTTGCCTTGAGAGCTCAAAATGAAACGTACCGTTCAGACAATGGTCTGATAAGTCTTTTTTTTACTATCTTCTTCGTAGATGTAAGTAAACAAGTCAATGAACTGATAGGGGAATCCAGCAAACGCCGGAGCGGAAAACATGTGTGCAATCTTTCAGCTTATTCGGTCCTAGAAATTTTTTTGTAAAGATTATACTAATTAACATATCTACACAAGTAATTTCTTCCACTCTTCCGCTCTGGACTCAATATAAATATAGATGTAGTGAAAGAAGTCACTTGTGCTGTCACTAAGTTTCTGATAAGTTGACAGGAATGGCCGCGAAGCAGATTTTTACATCTACTAGCTGAGTGTTTTGTGCATGGACAGCAGATGTGACGGTGATGGGTAGACCTTCTAACATTTCGCCCTTCAATATGAGATCTTTCGACATTTTTGGGATTTTTAAGAGGCACAATTGAAAGTGTAACAAAATTATCCGCTAACTAAATAAAAGCGCGAGATAGCAACTGACTTATTCGTTTCATAGACGTACATTTCAACCAATTGACTTAATTTGGACCAAGTATTTGTACTCACTGCATCATTCTGATTTGAAGGGAACGATTAAATGAAAAATAGTTTCAAGTCTTCAACATGACGTCACGGTTTAGAATGCAGCCATCTTTTGGTTCACGATCATCACTGTCTACTTCGCAAGCTCGTGGTGAATCTAGTGATATCGATTTTAGCTGGATCAGAGAGGAAGAAAAGAAACTAAAGAATGAGAAAGGTACCACTCTCAAACTTCATCTACACTTATTTTTCTAAGTACTTTGCCTAGAATACACAAAGCCTCTGCCCGAATGTTATTTCGGCATGGATCCTCCGAAATTAGAGGACAATGGCAATGTTAGACAACGTGAAGAAAAGGAGAATCTACGCCGTAGTAACGTTCGCAGTACTACCGCAGCACTGGAGCACGAGTTAGCAAAGGAGAAAAGAGAGGTAACATCTCAAAGCATTTTACGTTCTTTGTTCATACAACTTGAGCATTTTATACGGACTTTAAAAGTTATCTCTGCCACGCACATTCATTATAATAAGTTTATTTGGCCTAACCTTCCGGCAACAATGCGTTCCCCAAAGGATTAAAAGCAAGTCACTCACCTAATTCTACACTTCATACGGTCAAACTTCCCGTGTAAGCTTGACAATACAGGGTGTCCGTTAAGTATGTATACATTGTCTGATCGTTAATATCTTTCTTCCCAACAAGTCTTTTGCCTTGCTTTAAGTACCGTTTTGTAGAGCTGACTTCAGCTTAGATTCACAGTATGGATCGAACCACCGATCGCTCTTCATTACTGTAGGATTACGGTAGAAACTTGAAACATATGGTGTCAATGTGGAAAAGCTGCCGTCTCAAAATTTTTCAAAAAAAAATTGTGAAAACTTGTGTATTAGGGTTTTTGTGGACGCTGAGTTCAATGTTCAACTATTCACAAGATTGCGAAGCTTTCTAAACAGTGTAACCGCACTTTTTAGGAACATTTCAGGCTGTTTTGTTTCCTTTCTGAGGCAAAATATGGCCTTTCATGGCTCAAAATCCTCTTTGAAGTTTCTACCGTAATCCTACAGTACTGAAGAGAGACGAGTATTTCGTTGTATTTCGTTCTATACTGCAAATCTAAGTTGAAGCCAGCTCTACAAAACGGTAACTGAAACAAGGCAAAATACTTGTCGGGAAGAAAGATATTAACGATTAGACAGTGTATACTTGCTTTACGGACACCTTGTATGTTTTACCATCTGGCAAACCGGCTCCGCCTGGCCTTGTCAATAATATTTTCGTAATCAGCATGCTAACCTAAACTTTGTACTAAATCCCAACCTCGTAGGTGCTTTGCAATCGATAAAATCGATTTCGATCAGTGACGAAAGGTAGTCTACGTCACCCTCCCCGCTCGAAGTATACGTATGAGGTGGTCTGGATCGGTTCAAAAAATAAAATTCATATTCGCAACATACCTACTTAGTGTTATATATAGACCCTCCCCCCCCCAAGCATCGTAGCAACCCACTTTCCAATTTATGCGCTGCGTTGATAGGGCGCTTTAGAGATCCACCTATGACGCGCACTCAGTAGAAGTCGCCTGGGCTAATGTGCTTTTGAAGAGCCTTTCCACAATTTTGCGCATGTTTGGAGGCTGGGGTTGGGAGTTGCAGTTACTTAGGGGAAGGGGTCTGCTATCTAGCGTTGTCAAAACTGAAAGGGTCTAATTGCCTGTATTACTGCCTTCAAATTGCCAAACTTAGTAAGACTGGTTGGTCACTAAATGTGCCTGTAAATAACACATTAGCTGGTAAAAGACGGGAGAATATAGCAGCTCCGCTGAGAAGAATAGATTGTGGTGGTAACATTCGAAGGTGAATCATCGTATTGTAAAGGCAAAATATCTGCTAACAAAACGTCGGAAGCCTCATTTGTCTTTTTTGGTGAATCTGAGATGAATGAGAACAAAGAGTTTGCTATCACTTATAATCTGATACCGTTCTTTTCATTTTGGCAACTTTTACAATTCCGCCACTTTGAGCAGATCACATAGTAGGACGGCATCCATTCTTTTGTCGTCAGCTGTTGAACAAGGCAGTATCAGCATCTGATGTGATTTTGGTGTGTCACTGACCCGAAAGTACGGGAGTGTTCATATTCAATGAATCGAATGGGCAAGTTCGGAGAGGCATGGCCGTGTAAAGTATGAGATTGGATTACTGACTTACTTTAAGCATCTGAGAAAGACGTTGTTGCAGAAACGTAAGGCCAAATAAATTCTTTATTTCCCTGTGTGGCACAGGAAACTCGAGAGTGGTAACACTTCTAAAAAAAGCGTCGTGAGGGGAAGTATGGTGAGCAAGCAAATTTACTAAAATGTGCTCAGGTCATGAAATCCCGATCCTCTACACATCTAGAAGATCGTCGGCAAGAAATTTCGCCACGGCGAGATATGGGACCAATGGCTAGAAGATTACATAGAATGCAGGTAAGTAGAGTTACAATAACAAAATGCACATGATAGCTAGTACTTATTTTAGAGAGAGGCTGAAGTAGCCAATCGAGACTATGGCGACCATGACGATAACAGGCAGCGATGGAGAAGTAGTATGGCATTTTGAAGTGCCTCAAAGTCCTGGAGACAAATAACGCCTAGCACGTTTTTAAGATATGTACTCCGCTTTTTTCTCTTATCTGTAAGAACGATATCCACTTACGCCGAAAAATCGAAATCTACTCCGCTTTTTAGTCCCCCCCCCCTTTTTTTTAGAAATGAAAGTCTTGTTATCATAAACTGAACACTTTTTCTTTATCATTGTCTTTACATACCCATCTCATAGCTCCCGTAATTGTGCTTTTTCTTCTGCTCAATCAATTGATTTCTATCTTATAGATGGATGTTTGTACAGTTTTCAGAACAAATTTGTCTGTATCATCATAAACTGTATATATAAATAAGAGTAAAGTTATTAATCTCAATCTCTAGTTTACCGCAGGCGATATAGTGAAACTTCCCGAAGACGAACTGATTTGCCGGATTTTCCGAGAGCTTCAATTACTACTGAGGCAAAAGTGCAAAAAAGGATTCTTAAGTTACTGAAGGGCTTAAACATAAGAGAACTTTCCCACAAGTATTGCGGTGTCGCGTGGTACTGCTAGGTTCACTTCATTGTTATAAGTGCCATATAAAATCACATAATTCTTATCTGCTTATATAATGGCCACTCGCAAATGAGGTATGTACTTCTTGGATTTCTTTTTTTATGGTTTCTATCATTTTATGCTCTTCCTCTCTCTGAACTGTCAATGAAAGTGCTGTTTTCTAATATTCTTATTTTTGAAGGTTTTTAAGATGTTAGTTATTTAGAAAAGGTGAATTCTTTTCGCAGGAGAAGCTGTTATCTAGTGCAAAATCCAGTGGAAATTTGAGAAAATGGAGAAGAAACAGCAAAAAATTGCTGGAATGGGTGGTCGTCCCGCTGCTCCATCTCCACCACCTGCAGTATTTTTGTCACTACCGCCGCCAATGTACACTTGTGCCATATTTTTTGTCAATTTGAACAGGTAAATTTTTGAGATTCTTGTATTTTCATTTTTTTCTTTGCTATTCGTATTTTTGCAATTGTCTTTCCCGCTCTTCATATTATTAGCTTTCGAATGTGCCCTCCCCCCTGCTCCCGATGACCCCTCGAAAAAGTCATTGGCTCATATAGAGAGTGTCCCAAAAAATGTATCAAACGTTTGTTTTCTAATAACTTCCTTATATGGAAAACTTCCGCGGATCTTTAAATGTCGTACGGTAGGGCTAGCATCAGTTAGATATACTCTGAGCAAAGCACCGATTTCTCTTACAAGGAATGCTTATTTAGTCGAAGTGGCCTTTTTTGATGGCATGTATACCATATTGTAGAGCATAAAATGCTGATTCCAAATCTGCCTTCCATATCTGCAGAACGTTTATGGACGAGAAGTTATGAGCGTTTTTTGGAGTCAAAAATTGAATGTACAAGTGCGACAAAAATAACCGTAATACTTTTTCTAGCTCTTCAACGGAGCAATGAAAATCACCAAAACACTTCACTTGAAAATTACCTAAAATAAAAATTATGCCACACTTGGTTACGTTATTTGAAGGTTAGTAAGATTCTAACAACTTATTTTATTCAAAATGCACATTCAATTTTTGGCTCCAAAAAACGCTCATAACTTCTCGTCCATAAACGTTCTGCAGATAAGGAAGACAGTTTTGGAATTAGCGTTTTATGCGCTTTAATATGGTATACATCTCATTTGGAAAGGCCACTTCGACCAGACAAGCTTCCCTTGTTAGTCACTTTAGGATTACGGTGAGAATTTTCGACTAATTTTAGGAGTTCAACGTTGGCTTTGTCAAACAAAGTTTAGTTGAACCTTGGAGACTTTTCATTTTCTTTATTAATTGCGAGTAATGAGTGCAACGGGTTTAAACAGGGTTTAAACGCAACTAATGATTTGATTTGATTGATTGCGACGTGGTAGTAATTGCAGCGTTAATTTAGTAAATTTTGGAACAATTAAAAAAATTCGGCGTTACAGTGTGCGCATCCCGTAAGAAGCCATGGAGTGCGATAGCGAAAAACTTTCCTAATTGAATCCCGCATCTCCGAAAACTTATTGTTAGTTTGAAGTCCTTCGAATTTTTTTGAAATTTTTTAAAAACAACTCGTCCGTCAAAAGCCTAAAATTAGTCAGTTCCTACCGTAGGAACAAGAGAAATTGGTGATTTCCTATATACTGTATATCTAAGCTGATGCTAGCCCTACCGCGTGGCACCCAAATATCCGCAAAAGTTTCCATATAAAGAGGTTATTTATTGAAGATCAAACTTTCGATACTTTTTTATAGAGCCTCTTTCCCCCGTACCTGACGCACAAGACAATAAGCCTTAGGTGAGAGCAAGTGGAGTATGCGCCCTCCATTGACCTTGGTCGGGCCTCCCCCTCCCTCTGTGTGTGCGCATATCTCTCTCGTCTCTCCAAGGATTTGCCTTAACCTCGAATCGCGACGACGACGAACATCTAGGAAATTGACACCACTACAGAGCTTTTTCGTTTTTTCACTGCGCCCCTACATTCTGCCCCTTTTGTTAGCGGTCATTCGATAGTGGACACGAGATTGCGCAAATACAGGGCTATCATGACCTCTCATAAGTGTTGTGGGGAGTTAGAGAATGGACGAAAAAATGGAGAGAGCTCATGTGTGTTTAGGAAAACAAGAAATGGGCAAAAAGAAAGAGGAGACATGGAAGAGAAGAAAGATGTGACAGGAAAAAGGAAAACAAGAATTGGATATGGGAAAGCCTTCACAATCTTCCACACTTGATACACCGAGATAAAAATCTCCTCCTCCTAAATTTTTTTTCGGGTAACCACATTAAGTATTCTCCAGTTTTGCATTTATACAAAAGTATAAGATATTAATAATAAGAACTATCACATAACCCTCAGAAATCTTTTTTTTTGTAGGATGTTTTGACAGCACAACGTATAAAATGCTGTGAATATCAATTTCAATGTGTCTACAGCTTCTGGAAATTTTTGAAATTTTTTTTATCATTTCTTTGTTCTCCTCATCTTTTTTTATTCTGCTCCTAACTCTCCTCATTTTCTTCTCTACAACCATTTTCATGTTTTTATAAATATAGGCAAAGTAAAAGCGGATAAGTCTTGCAATTTGTGGCCGGGATCGCAGGTGAGCAAATTTGAGAAACTAGTAAACATATAGATAAACGGGTTTCCCCCAACGACCTAATTTGGTATGTAAGGAATTCTTCCTTTTATCGATGCAATCTTCTAATGTGAATTTCGTAAAACTTTCATTCTTTTACCATCTAAAAATTTTCGCTCCTCTTCCCCCGCATCCCCACCGTCACAGCTTCCTCATCAATGGTCGAATATTCAGATTTCCTATTGAATTGTTATTTTATTCTCAAACGAATCCTATGTAACTGTTCGTATACATCGTATTCTCTAAGGAACAGGTTCCACTAATGTGCGTAAATCTTCATCATTTGTTTTCTTTGACAGCTTTGTTCAAAGCTTTTTGCTTCTGACTATTACCTTGTAGTCAGTTATTTATTGCCAATGCTTCTCTAATTGGCGCTTTTGTTCTTTTAAAAGTTCTTTCTGGGCTGTACGATAGCAGGGAAGATGGAATCGAAGAATGGAAGAGAAAAAAGGGAAGAGGGGGATATTTACCTACTTCTATTTTTTTCTTGTTAGGGATGTATCGCTTTGAACAGTATATTTTTTATTTCTTTCAAGCAAGAAAATTAGGAGAAGGACAGCGAAAAATTCACCTTATAAGTGGAGACTGCTACTATTTGTAGCATCTAGCAGAATTAATTTTTTTTTACTTAAAAAAGGTCTGGAATTCTGATGAAACGTGTTTTCACATTTTAATTTAAATTTTGCTCGGTTCTTTTTCCTCGTGCGGTATGTTCCTGACCACCGTTGCTTATGTGTGCAATTGCACATTTTTGAGAATTTCGCCAGCAGGACATCAAAATTCTTATTTTCGAGTTTCTTCTTTTCCTCCGCACATAATTCTTCACAAAAGATATCTCCTTCAACAGCCTTTATTTTTGTATTTTTGTTGTTTGTTGGAAATTGGGTAGCTTACCCCCTCCCTATTTTCTTTCTAGCTTACCCCTTCTCAAATGCCTACACATTGTTTACTGAAACTATGATCAACCAGTAAAACTTTCTACTAGGCCCGTGTCGTGCAGTAACCTGTCTTGAAGGGCCCTAGAAAATAATTTCAGCAAACAACTTGAGTACATTATGAAAACTCTGTTAAGTAAAATAGTCCTGTTTCGCCTCTTGCCCCTAGACAGGGAAGAATGGAAGGCTAACCACTCCCGAGGCTCATCAGTAGGGGAGGAGTGGTGGTAGTAGTGGTAGTCTTCACTCAAATTGTGTATATATAGTGGGGGTATTTATAGGGGGCGTGAGCGGTTAGATCAAAAATCAGGGCAGGGCTAGGCTATGATCTAAAAACAATATTGTTGTTTTGCCCAACTCTCTGCCTTCTCTCATTAACACATGCTCCATCATAAACTAAGGTTTTCTACCGTTTCTCAAGGGTCCTTTTCTCGCCTTCACAATAAGAAGAGTCAAACAGGTGTTTCTTTGAGCGTAATTGTATTACATGGCATTACTAAACCATTCTCTTCCTCCCCTCCCCCCCCCCCCCCCGAAATTCACATTACTCGCACTCGTTTCGCCAGTTTTCCCCTCGTAATACTAGTCATTATGGTCTGTCGGGTTTTCACAATAGGGGACAACGGGTTATTGGTGACAGGTTAACGCTTGACGCCAATAAAATTCGTTCGCATGTCATTGTCATATGCGCTGAGAAATTATACCGGCAATAAAAATTGTTGAGCAAAAAATCAAGTAGGCCGCTCTGGCGCGAGTTTTGAACCCTTTTTCGTTGTTGGTGGTCTCTCAAAAGAAGCTGTTTGACTGCGTTGTACTTTTAATGGAACCTCATTGAGCCAGAAGACGAGAGTGAAGTGGGAAGAGAAAAACGAGAGAAAGGGGAAACAGTAAAGTTAACTTCTCTTTGAGAGTCAATCATG